TGTTTGGTTCTGGGGAAGCAGAGCAGATCAGAAATGAAAGACCGGAATGGACCAGACGGTTGGTACGACAACAGATCTTTAATGGATTGAGGAGCATGAAAGGCATTATTAATAGGGGCCGATCGTCCTCTTGTAAACCCCCTCAAAACAGAAAACGGGATGCTAACCTGAAATATTATCTAATTAATTAATTTATTATTATTTATTTATTTTTATATTAATATTTTATTTTAATTCCCATAAACTACCACTATTGCCATCGGAAAACGAGCACAATGCGCGAGGCCAGAAAGGCTGGTGTTCTGGTGGGACACCGATGTCAGATTGCCATACGTGCAGCACAGACGGACGGCTGTGATTGACAAAAGTAGCAGTGATTATCAATACTCTGACATTTAATCAGCCACAATACGGAGAAGGTAGATCATAAACCCTTATTGCCAGCGACGGCTGATTTATCTTAACGGTCGGACTATCAGAGAACCGGAGTGTGCTTGTCATTGACTGCAACTAGATCCAATAGCAATTAGGTAAAGAAACCGCGACAAGCATGTGCGGCCGATGAACGATCAGGGAAGCAGGACGCTCGCGAAGTTCACATCGCTGAGGTGTGAAAGCTGACATTCGGAGCCAGAATTGACAAGGGAGACTGGGAAATATAGGACGTGGGACGATCTGCCGGCTGCAGCGAGACGATGGATTTGGAGAGATAATGATCAGAACCAGTACTCGGCCCGGAACACGGCGTGTTGGCAGGTGCGTCCTGAGCCTTCTGGGACGGTTGTGATGTCAACTTAATGTTTAAAGAAATGTGGAGCTGCACAGAGACCAGCGGGCAGCTGGGGTCAAGACAAAATGTGCGCAAGAGACAAAAGTGAGTCAGCTGTGGATCCCTGACGGAATCTAGAGCAATTTAAAGTAATGGAGCGAAGAGAGTGTTGCGGCAGCCGGGCGGGGGAAACACCACACACTGACAAAAGAGCAATTAGAAAGGCGGAGATTTAGATTGCTTAAAGTCCGGTTCTGCGAAGCGCACAAACTGAGCTAAACACAACCCTGAAGATGCTGAGACTGACTGGCAACAGGAGTCCGAATACACATGATTTGGGGACACTATCTGTGACGTCATACAAGCAGAACTGTTGTGTATGATACACTAGGTCAAATAAAATAATATTCAAGCAGATAACTGGAGATAGCACATGGCAACATTTATTCAGGAACAGGGAACTTCATCATCTTCTTTACAGGTCCAGCTCACATCTCTTGTGCACAGCAACAGCACCACCAATGGCGATTTGTTATATTGCTTTTATCTGCACATTTACAACCAAACAGCCTCCAACTCATAGGAGCATAATCATATCAAAAGTGTGTAACAATCTTAAATCTAGAGGTTCATTCTTTTCTGTGTCTGGAACACCACAGCTCCTCCCCTGTAAATTCAATACTTCTCAATCAGTGAAAACATTTTTCACCCCCTTTATATATCAATATAACTGAAATCAAGAAACAACTTTTTTTTTCTTTTTTTTTTTAAACTTCATTTAGAGTTGCAGTTTCAAGTTCAGTCTATCAGGAGGTCGCCGGTTCCTCACTGGACGAGTGTTCCTTTCGACTGTAGTTGATGGCACATCTATTGGTTGATTCCCAACAGTTTTTTCTTCCATCTGTTGATCCACACCTTTGGTTGTATCGAGATCATCATCATTCCAAAAGTTTCCAGTACCAGAGTCTGTTTGTGTCAAATGAGCTGGATTTCCATTTACACCCAGAATCTGATTTACATGTCTTTTAACACACTTCCCATTCACTTCCACACTGTAAGTTACAGGACCCAAGATTTCTTGTACAACTCCATTCAACCACTTCTCTCCTCCCCTGTAATTCTTTACCAATACAGGTTGACCAACTGTGAAAACTCTAACATGGACGAGATGGTTCTGTGTTGTTTTGCATTCTCAGAGAGAACTGGGTCTGATCAGTGACAGTCTTGTTCGAACCTGTCTTTTTAGAAATAACTCAGCGGGAGTTTTCCCTGTAGTTGTATGGGGTGTGTTTCGGTACCCTAAAAGAAAATTTGCAACACAGTGCTCAAGTGTCATACCACCTACGGCTTGATTCTTTGCTAGTGACGTTTTAAGATTTTGGACTAAACGCTCTAATAACCCATTGCTGGCAGGGTGGTATTCAGGTGACTTAATGTGCTGCACTCCATGTTTTTTTAGAAATGACTCAAACTCTTGTGAAACAAACTGAGGACCGTTATCTGTTACAACTTCTTTTGGTAAACCATAAGCAGCAAATAAATGTCTCAGTGTTTCAGTGGTTTTAACTTAAGTAGTATTATGCATAGGAATAATCTCTGGCCATCTAGCATAGGCATCCATGACTAGCAGAAACATCTGCTTGTGGTCCTCTGCAAAGTCCAGATGGATTCTCTCCCAGGGGCTGGCAGCCCATTTCCATTTATGCACTGGTGCAGTACAAGGCATACTACGCTGCTTTTGACAAATGGTACACTCACTGACTTCCTGTTCAATGCACTCATCTACTGCTGGCCACCAGAATAAACTTCTGGCGAGGGATTTCATCTTTACTATTCCCCAGTGGTGTTCATGCAGTTCAGACATCAACTGATCCCTTAATTTCTTAAGGGATCAGCAGACAATCATCTTCAACAGTGAGCTCAAAACGTCTCTGAAAATATGGCTTCAGCAGCTCAGCCTGTACATGTTTAGGCCAGCCAGTTAACACCAACTGTTTCACCACCTTTAACACAGATCTTTGTCTGTTTCTTTTGCTATCTTTACCCTGAGGTTGTAGCTTTCGAGCCTTTGCGAAGTCAGTGAAGACTTCACATCAAGTCAGTGAAGTCAGAGAAGACTTCACATCAAGTGGGTGTCATCTGGATCCCCTTTAAACTCATGGATCTGCATGCTGGGGCGCACCTTCAGGCGGGTACTGCGGACCGGGCCAGCTGCAGACATCCTGCTGTTGGAGAGCGCTGACATCCTGACAGGACCGCTGCTTGAGAGCGCTGGGTCGCTTCTTAGCATCCAGATGCATGGTTCCCTTGGTCGTATTCAAACGGCCTCCTTCTTTGCGTGTTGGACAGGCTTTGGCTATGTGTCCCTTTTTCTTACACTCGTGGCACTCGCTTTCTTTAAACCTGCAGTCATTCGGGTTGTGACTTTTTTCACCGCAACGATAACAGGGCTTCCCGGTAGCTGTATTTTTCTCAGCTTCGCGGTACTTTGTTTTAGCTTTCTTTTCCACTACATGAGCCTTGAAAGCTTTCTGTGCAAACTGCTGTGAACTGTCCTTAGTTACCTCAAAGGAGAGCGCCATTTGTACAGCCAGCGGCAGCGCCAAGTCTTTGGTGTGCGTGGTGCTGAGCAGCCGATCTCTCAGCTCGCTGCTCTTTACCCTACAGACGAATCTATCACGCAGTGCTTCATCTAAGAAAGTCCCAAATTTACACGTAGCTGCTAATTTTCGTAAACTAGCCACATACTCACTGATTGTTTTGTTGTCTTTTTGGTTTCTTCCGTGAAACTTGCACCTTTCTGCAATAAAGTTCGTCTTTGGTACATAATGTCTCTGTAGCAAATCCACCAACTCTTCGTAGCTTTTCTCTGACGGTTTATCCGGAGCACACAGATCGATCAGCAAGTTATGGGATCTTTTCCCTACCACCGTGAGAAACACTGACCTAGTTTTCTCTTCTTTTGTGTCCAAGTCGTTTGCAGCAAAATGCTGCTCAAGACGCTCGCGGTAGTTGTCAAAACTTTCTTCAGTTTCGTCGAAGTGAAAGTCTTATGGCTTTCCAAACGCCATCTTGTAGCTCGAGTTCGGCAGTCCTTTCACTCACCAAAACGCTCGGCTTTTTACCGTCGCGTGTTGCCTCTGTGGAGCCGCTCCATCTGCGGACTCTGTGCCTTCCAACTTGAATATCCCATCCTCGTCGCCAAGAATCTGTTGTGTATGATACACTAGGTCAAATAAAATAATATTCAAGCATTTAACTGGAGATAGCACATGGCAAAAATGATTCAGGAACAGGGAACTTCGTCTTCTTCTTACAGGTCCAACTCACATCTCTTGTGCACAACAACAGCGCCACCAGTGGCGATTTGTTATATTGCTTTTATCTTCACATTTACAACCAAACAGCCTCCAACACATAGGAGCATAATCATACCAAAAGTGTGTAACAATCTTAAATCTAGAGGTTCATTCTTTTCTGTGTCGGGAACACCACAAGAACAAGAACGAGTCAGGTCAGGAGCAGGTACATCTTACCTAGACAACGCCCCTACAGGCGCAGCGAGATTGTCGGTTGATGAGGCTGGAGAGCCAGCTGCAAGCCGAGACACGCGGAAGTGAGCCTGGCGGTCTGCTGGCGGCGTTCTCCTGGAGGTGAGCTGGGGGAGACGATACGGGCGAAGGAGAGAGTCCACGATGAGACGAGAGTCGGGGAGGGCCAATGGGTGTCAGAGGTGGGAAGATAAAGATGGCGGATCATGTGGGGTTCTGGTGCTCATCAGCAGAGGATAGGGTGGTGAGCCGGAGCGGGGAATCTGGCAGAGGACAGAGGACGCCCACAACATGGAGGGAAGGACGGAAGATATGGACGGAAGACGGAAGATTTCCTGCTTTGCCGTCGCTGATGGAGGCCTAAGGAAGGCATGATGGGGTTAGAGAGATCAGTGAGGAGTAGCTGAAAGTCAATCGGGAACACGGCAGGCAGCTGGAGGATATTCCCTGGATTTGAGCCATGGAAGAAAAGAAAGACGATCGGAGCGAGCTTCTGCGGGCCTGACCGGGGATGGAAGGACCGGGATCGCTGATGGAGAGGTGGAAGATGAACCATC